CAAGCAATTGCAGTTATATAGTCTTTTCCTCTCTCTTTCCCTGCTCTGGACATGTCCGGACACCTTCTCGCTCTGAGGCAGAATGAGATCCCACACAATGTTGCTCTTCTCGCTCAATGTCCTCGCTTCTGCCAGTAGTAGCAATGCACATGGTGTACTGGGGCGGAGGTAGGGCAGGCAGGAGGCAGGGATTTTGCCACCAGCCAGGAAGAGCAAGTGTGAAGCTCCCACTGGGGAGGGGATGGCCTGGTTCAATTCCCCACTCGTGGTCATGAGGGAGGATGTAAAATGCTAGGATTGTGGGGTGTGAAAAGGAGGTTTGAAGAACAGGAATACATTGTGGGGGTGGCACATGATAGTGGTGGAAGGAAAATTCTCACGCAAATTCTCCCAAGTGTTAAATTCTGCTAATTATTATATCTTTGGCTGGGATGCTGTTAAATTTCTAAATCTCAAGGAGAGGCCAAATTCACAACCTGAATGTCTGTAAGACAACAGTTAACACAACCATCTCTAACTGTTTATTAAGAAGCCATATGGGGGATGAAGAGCCTTTAAAAAAATCCCTCCACTTTCAAAATCACATTTGATAAATAAAAAAATCAAGAGAAAAAAAAAGTACCAAATGTTAGTCTGTGCAAAGCTGCATTTTAGGTCAAACTCTTTTGTAACTGGTGTGGGCACTATAGTGAACAATGGAAATAATTTGCTTTTCTTTGGCATAATTTTCTCAGGATATTCTGTGTCTTCAAAAGGAATGACACTGAGTAATCTGCTCCTTATCCTGCAGATTTGGTTTCTGTAAGCAGAAAACCTGTATCTTGCTATCTGACTAAACAAATGCACATATAATTGTTTTGCTGTACATATTTCAGGCCTGATATTTTTTTCTAACACACAATCCAATGGCAAAAAATTTCTGTGCTCTTGAAATTTGACTAAAAATGCTAGGCTTGAAACACTGACATAAGAGATCTTGCCTGTGGTCAAATCTTTATGCTTCAGAGTTAATTTTAGGATGTGGGTCTTATCACGGAGAATGCTTTAAGCATAACAATTTTATCCACAGTTCCTGTTTTACGAATCTGAGGCAGCAAAGAGGGCCAGAAATGGAGTGGAGGCAAGGGAATGATCCACACCCCAAATCCACCCAATGCAATCCATGGGCAGGAACAGGTTTACCCAGGTAATCTGCTACAGCTGCTACACAAAATCTTAAGTTTGCTCATAAGCCACTGAGCACTGTTTATTCACTGACACAGCACCATGAGCGGTGCCTAGTGTTGTGTGTTCTCTCAGCTCTCCAGATTCAGCCCAGCAAAATGCTTATAAGCTGTGTTTCTCAACAATGAGGACTAGATACTTACTTTTTAAAAATGCAGTATTCCCAACATGCTAAATTCCCTGTTCAAGAACCGTTATAGGATGGTAGGTTAGTCTCCTACTGCCAGCTCTGACCCAGCTTTACTAGCTGCTGGAGGTCCCTAACATGGGAACAATACCATGTATACCCCTATATTTCCATGTTTCCAGGTATTATGAAGGCATACTTGGAGCAAGGAGTGTGATTTTGAAGAAGGGAGAAAATAGTAAATATCTTGGTCTTTGTGAATAAGAAGTCCTTGCGATTACATACTCAACCATTTGTGCCAAAGTTAGTTCTCTCCTTTGCACTAAGAAAGAAAAACTCCACAATGAGAGGGAAGGAGTTGGGAAAGTGACTTAAGATATTAACAGTTTAAAAAGGAGACATTTATTTTGATACTGCCCTCCCAAATTTCCAGTTGCCCCTTTTCAAAGGGGAAAATATGTAGCTATCTTTCTAATAGTTTCCGCGGTCCTTCATATCAGTAGTTTGACACACTAATGTAAAGGTGAGAAAGATGTCTTAAGTTGCAACACAGGCTGTTGGGTGAGGCTTTTTACTTCTTCTCCTAATCCTTATCTTTAAAAGTCCCTACCCCACCAGAAGATCTTGTTCTGGTAGGTTGCAAAGGGTGGTTAGATGGTGTTATAGTGGTTCAGTACCAGGTCCAGGTAGCTGAAAGTCCTTGGGCAAGGTACCTTCCATAGATCTCTTGGCGATTCAGCCTGCGATCAGCTTCTGCTGCTCCTATTTCTCATTACGGCTATCACTTGCCTGCTTGATTTGCAGAGAGCCAAGGAGCAAGAGCTAGGAAGGGGCATCGGCAGCTGCTCGCTCTCACCCACAGCACTGCTTGGATCAGAGCAAGAACAAGCAAGTGCACAAGCAGGAAGGAAGCCCAGTGAGAAGGATGTCCAGGCAGCATTTGCCAAAGGACCCCTGCTGGGATTGGTGCTCACCAGGTGCCTGATCAAGCCTATCAGCCCAACAACGGTCCATGTGCTTTGGTGGACTGATTTTGATGAGGCAAGCAAAGGACAACATGAGAAGCTTTGGATGAACCCGCTTACCAGACAAAATGGGGCAAAATAAAATTTGTAGCCATCAGGAGAACAGCCTTCTTCCCACTTGGAAAGATTGCACAAACAATGTAGGCAAAGTAAAGATGGTCCTCATCAGCAATACAGTTCAGCAGGTTTGAGAGCCCCACTCTTAATTCGGAGCTTTTGAACAGGACAGAAACACAGGTCAGTTCAAATAATTCTGTCTCCAGCAGCTTACCCCAGCATGGAGCCCTCCATGTTAGACTGTAGCTCCCTGGCAGACACTGGGATAATGGAAACCGTAGTCCAATGCACATCTGGGCAGAACCAAGTAGGGAAGGCTGCTATAACCAGAATTATTTCTATGGCATGGGGCTATGATTCTGTCTGGTTGGAGAAGCTGGTGTATCGAGCATCCCCGGGAAGGGGCTCCTAGCACTAAAGTATCATTGTCTTCTGCTGTAAACTTCAGGCAGGATTGCAATCAACTTTCTACACTATTGGAGGTTGTGCATTTTTCCTGTATGTTCTTCTCACCATATTCCTTCTGTATCTGTGGGGGTAATGTTGCTGCTGAGCACAGAGGTCTAATTTACTTAAGCAGCCACATGAAGAAATAAACCCAACCAATCCTTAAAAATAGACCAAATATTTATTTAACACTAAATATTTACGCATTTCAACATTACTATTGCCCATTACTATCCATGAAAGGTCAAAAAACAAAGTCTTTAACATTTGTTTTGGACCAAATGTATGTGGAAAATATTTTAAAAGGGGGGAAAAACAAATAGCTGAAATAGTGGCGAACAGAAAGGGTTCCCCTCCACTCTGATTTTTAAAATTAGCATTGTGTTGTTCTAAGTGCAATAACACTTCTTAATTCATGCAGTATTTCACTAATATAATTTTAAAACCAGTTTTCAAAATCAATTCAACTGGCATTTCGTTATGGAGAGGAAATTTCCAAAATGATGCAAACTTTTTTTTTTTTTTTTGGTTTTAACACAAGAAGTTTTTTTAATAACCCTAATTAAAAGAGTGCTTTAAAAAAAATGACAGGGTTATCAACTGGTGCCTACCGCAAAGGTTATAGTGAATGTATGCAGAACTGTGATATTTCATCTGCTGAAAATCTCACTGCCTGCATAAAAAACACACCTCTTAAGAAAGAGAGAAGAGTAGCAGTATGCACATCTATGTCCGAGCGTATTGTAATACCTTTATATCATTCTCCAAAAACAAATGAACAAACAAAACACCCACCTTGGAGTTTCTGTGATAAGAAGAAAAAAAGACAGAAGAGGCACTGGGGAAACACAGGTTTACAAGAGCTTTTACCACTTGTAAAGCATCCATGAACAATGCATGTTTCCACACTAAAGACCCAGTGTGGACACAGAAATCACACACATGACTAATCAAAATAAGTCCCACTGATTACAATGGGGCCTACTCCCAGGTAGGCAGGTAAAAGTTTGCTGCCTTGAGGTACCATCCAGGGCAGACACCTATACCCTCAAACTCAGAAGATTATCCCGTGGAGGGCAGAGTAAGCAGAGAGGCAAGGATGGTCTCAGCACTCTTCCCACCCTCCAAACACCTAGATGGACCCTTTCAGCCATCTAAACCTTCAACACTGACTTAGGAAGAGTGGAGCTGGAAGCACTGTCAAGACTGCACGTAGGACAGCAGTGCCGCCCTCCTCTCCACCCTGCCCACCCCCCGAGATGCCCTCCCAGGACCAACTCAGCTGGCATGCTGCCTTGGAGGACAGAGGAAAGGTGCTCCAATTGTGAAGCCCCAGCTCCGACCTCACAGATTTTAGCTTTTGAGATACAAGCTGGAAACACTCTTTTGAAATGCAGCAGTTGTTCTGTGATGTTAAAAACATTCTCACTGCAGAAGCATCTAGCTGTTTCTATCTTCTTCTTCTTAACCAAGAATGGCCACATTTCAAAGAGGTTCAAGGCAGTCAAGGACACAAGCCAATAGTTCTGCTCAAGATCCTTCCCAGAAAGAGACTCAAGCAGTGGAATTGAAGTATGGTTGCCATTTAGCTTACTAAAGGAGGATAGCCATGTTACATACTCAACTGGGGACCTGGTGGATGGGAGCTGAACACACTGGATAGTTAGATCCAAACCACTAAATCTCTACAAGCTTAAACTAAAACTGAGGTTCCACCATAACTGTTAACTCACTTGTGTGTCTGTGTATAGTAATGTAACCCATGGTTCAAGATGAAGACAGATGAGGACCATATCCCTTCATTGATAACTGCCTACTAGATTCCACTTAGCTGAACCCACCTCAGCAACCACCCTTCAGAAGCCTTCTTCCTATACTTCCCAAACACTCAATAGTGTAGACCCACCCCTAAGCTGCTCAAGGGCATGGCCCTTCCTTACAAGTGTCAACATCGTCCTTTCCTCCTACAGAATAAATAACCTATTATTCCAAGGACAGAAAAATGTTCAGGCTCAGAGGGGATCGTAATCCCAGGCCTTGAGCAAGGAAGACAAGTCAGCAGGCCAGGAACGACCATTATGGAAGGACAAGGAGGGGACATCCTTGGTGAGGGGAGAGGCTCAGTTGGGTTGGGAAGCAGCACTCGAAGAGCTTCCATCAGGTTCCCGTTTGACCTTGGCAGGAGGTTCTGTCCCCACTTTGGCCTCTCCCTCTGCTTCCTCCTTCATGCCCTCATGCGTCTTCATGTGCTTGCTGAGATGGTCGCTTCTCATGAAGACACGGTTGCAAACAGGACAGGTAAATTTCTTGGTTCCTGTGTGGGTTTGAAGGTGCCGCTGCAACTCATCGGAGCGGGTGAAGCGCTTGCCACAGAACAACCAGTTGCAGACAAAAGGGCGGTCGCCGCTGTGCCACCTCAGGTGGGCCTTCAGGTGGGATGTCTTGGCGTAGGCCTTACCACAACCAGGGATGTGGCAGTTGTGGAGGTGCTTCTTCTTGGAGTTATCAGGACACTGACCCACCCTTTCAGCCTCCTGACAATTGGGGCACCTGCAGGCAGCTTGACCAGAACTCCGCGTCACGGAGCGCCTTGAGCTCTTTGGCCTTCCACTCCCATCTCCAGCCTGCTCCATTGGGTGGGACTCCTGAGTAGAATCCAGAGATTTTATCACTTCCTGCCCCATGAGGTGTGGCGCAGAAGGCAGCAGGTGGTGAGGCGGGCCACAGAGTTGATGTTCTGTGGAGCCATAGCCACTCAGTGCTGGCTGAAGTCCACCTGTGTGTCCTGGAGGCTGGAGACCACTCTGAATATCCATCCAGCTGGACCCAGCATGGAGATCCCACCATGGATTGACACCACCATCATCAGTGGCATTGCTAGGATGCGTAGGTCGGAACCAAGGTTCATAGTGGTGAGCCATATCTGGTGCTGCCTGCAGGAGCTTAGAATATGAGCCCGGGGGCAGCTGACTTTCACTGTCCAAGTCTAGCCTTGAAGACCCATGCAGCTCGTATCCAGTGCTGGCCGAATAGTCTGTGTCAGGCCCAGCCAGAGGCAGGTGCTGCAGTTCTGTGGGTTGCAGAGGGGATGGGAAATCTCCCCCGCTCTCCGAACTGGGTTGAGGCTGGTAGGTCTGCAGAGGCTGCAGCTCCAAGTGGTTTGGAGAAGAACAGGGTGTCTCCGAGCACTGGTTGCCAAGAGAACCACAGACCGCTGTAAGCATTGCAGTACTCCCAAGGTGGGTGGGTTCTCAGACACACCTGGACAGGAGGAGAGGAGGAGCAAGAGAGAAATGGAGGTGAGGCAATGACACTGTAGACAACGCACACTCACAGAGATTCGCTTTAAGCCACTTGAACCCATTTCCAAACCCCATTTCAGATTAGTTAGGTGGCACTGAGCAGAACAACACAAACCAATACAAATAGGAGATACAAACCAATACTAATGGGAAAATCCCCACAATTTAACATCAGTCTTTTGTTGGCTTTATGTCTATGTCATGACTTCCTCCAAAGAATCCTGGTAAATGTAATTTAGTGAGGATGCTGGGAATTCTCTGTTTGTCACACAGAAATATAAGTTGCATGCAAAAGGAAATATTTTAAATCTAGGCTGTAGACATGTCTTTAAGGGAAGGGAAGTATCCCATATTTAAAGACCTATGTGCCATCCATATTGGAAATGTTCCTTTGAGTGTATATTCCTTAAAACAATGATCCTAGCTAGCCCTCTGAGAAGCATGCCTGCATGGCACATGTGTATGCAAAGAGATGGGAGCTTACAGCATATGATAAAAAGAAAAAAAAATGCATGAAAACCATCCTGAAGTTTCAGATCAGAGATGTCATTTCCCCTAAAGAACTCTTGGAACTGTATTTATGTGACTATCTGTGATACTTTGATAGGTATCTATAGCCCCTTAATGGAACAAAAGTTACCAGGTATCCCTTATTTGATGGCCATGACATAGGTATACATATGTAGTATAGACATCCTGGTTTCCGCTTGGAAACATCACACTGTGTTTTAAAGCACTGTGGCAGAAGTGGTGATGGTTGTTGTTGTTGTGAGGCCATGGGGTGGGGAAGAGATTTAAACATAGCCTGTTCTCTTTTTCTTCTTCAAAACCCTTTTTTAGAGACAGACCCTCTAATCGTCGGCTTCTGAAAGGCAGATAACAGTAATTACACCATCTGATCTCCAGCCCGCTTAGCTGCAACAGAACAACTCTTGCCTTGTCCCAGGTGGAAGTAGAGAGAACTTGCTGAGTACTTAGTGCATAAACACTCAGGCTGTTTTTACCCCCTTTTTTGTGGTGGTGGGGGCGGGGCAGGATGCTAGAGGCCTGCCAAATAAAGCTGAGAAAAATTAAGGAGGTACTTTAAGAATATAACGGTGTCTACAGACCACTGAGGTAACCAACATGGTAACAATGAAAAAGCTACAGAACTGTCGAGCTGTCCTTTCTTTTAGCGGTGTTTACAGCTTGTAGAAAATCCATCTTGTTTCTGAACAGCTTTTCGACAGATAACAGATATGCTCAGCTCCAGAGAGAAACATAGTCTACTTGTAAAAATCCCCAGTTCTTCCAAAGACCCTAATTATCTCACTAAGATCTGTATTTCATGCCTTATTAACTGCTTGTTCCTAAAGTTTCCACAAAGGGTTGGTTTTGTCATGTTAGGAAAAAGCTTCAACCTGCTGAATTTCTGGCTGGCACACAATAGGTAAAAACACAAAGGCTCTGTCAAAACAAGAAGAAGTGGCGATTCTAACTATGCTGGGGTCCAAGGACTAAGCACAGGAGATGCAGGAGATCCAAATTCAAAGCCCAGGCCATCCTATAGCAAGAACACAGGACAGAACAGCAAACTCATTCTTCAAGTGTGGATCCTCATTAAGCCAAAACTGCACCATTCGCACACAAGACAGAAGTACGAGCAGATTTTGGAGAACACTCCCTGCAAGGCTCACAGAAATACAAAAAAGTTTAAGAAAAAACAAAAAGGGAGGGAAGAAGAAATACCCACAAAGCAGTCTGCCGAGGAAGGCTCAGCATGGCCACACAAAATGCAGTGCAGTATGCTGAATGGTGGTGAGTGGGAACAGAATGGAGTATCCTGGAAGGGGCATGACTGGCTGGCACTCGAAGAGAAGCACTCTACAATATTCTGTGGCAGGTCCCATTTGTTTCACCGATTCTGTAGCAAAAAACCCTGCTTGCCACCAAATCTACATCCAACAGGGAATCCCAGCCAGTTCTAGATCTCAGATCAGAGTACCTATTTTCCAACATCTGTTTGTCTTTCACATTTCTACAGCTTAAAAGTCCTAATTAGAGATGTAATTTTGCTGGAAGCTTTATAAGCCAACAACATTTTCCCCTATTTTTTTCCAGAAGGGAGGGGTAGAAATATATGCAGTATTTATATTCTTATCAAGCCTAAACTTACCACTTCAATAGCATAACATGCACCATTTGTAATTCAGTTAGCATGTATATATTTTCTATTTGACATATTTATGAAGTGTATGAAGCGAATTTATTTTAATATCTTAGATAAACTACAAAGGATAAAAACCTTCTGGAGGTGGCTTACATAATAAAATCCCACACATTTATTCAGAAGTAAAACACGCCTTGTTTACTGAAGCTTACGCCCAAGTACTCCACAGGTTTGTATACTCAAAGGTAGAAGCACCCTACAATACAATCCTATATGCATATATCTACTTAGCATTCTTCCATGTGTCTATGGATTGCAGCTTTAGCTTTGTACGTGCAGCACTGTGAATAAATCATATCTAAGCTGCTACAACTGCTGTACCATCAAATCGCAGAACAGTATTGCCGGAAGGGGCCAGAAGGCCACTGGGTCTGACACCCTGCTCAGTGCAGGACACCAGGTTAAACCCTCTCTTAGCTAGCTTGTTGCATCTTGAATGCCTCTCGTGTGGAAGAGCACACAAGCTCCCTAGGTAATTGGTTCTATTGTCATACCTTATGCTACCTCAAAGTAAGTATCTTCCTTACAGCCAGCTAAGAACAGGAAAAAATTGAAAATAGAAACTACAATTTTTGAGTAAATAAAAGGAAGTGCATTTTTAAAGAGGGAAACAGTTTCATAAAGTCAAAATACCAAGGACTAGCAGCATATTTGGACTGCAACCTAAACTTATTCTCTGGTGCTTTAAAATCGTACAAGGAAAATTTTCATGTTACACATTTTGGGTAAAATCCAGATAACCCATACTTAGCGTAGACTTGTTGAAATGAATAACACTTAAGGTAGTTATGGCCTTAAATCCCATTCATTTCAATGGGTCTACTCTAAGTGGGGTTGTGTTGGTTTTTCTCCTTTGAGTAAAAACTGGTCTTAAAAACATTTCACTCTTTTTGAGATCTAGTCACATTCAGAACAGCAGTTATGGTGAAAGGACATAACAACAACAACGATACTAACAGTGAGAAAATATAATTTGGTACTACTTTATTAGAATTCTGGAACCATTCTCCCCTTTTTCCAAATTGTCACCCGTCTGATTTGGAGGACGAGTTTTCAAGAAGACCAGGATACAGTTTGGGAAAAGAAAGGGAGAGCGAGAGGAGACTGGTTGTAGGGTGCAGGCTCACACACCCTAGGGTTCCAAGGCGACTTTGCATGGTCCGGAAGAGACAGATAGGATCAGAGCTGCTGAAGCATCCCAGAGAACGCCTAGGCCTTCCTCCAGCATTCCAAGGTGACTCACTCTCCCATCCTGTGCAAAGTGTGAGCAGAGGAGGAGAAACCCCACCCTGGGTTTGGAAAGGACCTGCCAGGAATTGGTTTGCACCCCCTTCAAAAAAAGTCATAAAAGGAAACTTCTGGCTTCCTTCAAGGATCCCCGTCTCTGGTCCCCTGCCCACCTTATCACCTATTTACCTGATGGATAAGGATCTAAATCAAACCAGAAGAGAACCCACTCAGGTTATTCTCCATCCTAGCTGCGTGGGAGCCAATGTTCCAGAACTGTCTCTCATGTGGCTGCAATATTTCATATCATATCATATCATTTAATTCCTGTATCTCCCACTAGTCAAAATGGCTCTCTGAGTGGTGTATAAAATCATAACATACATATTACATTTGTTCCATTGAGTTCAATGGAACCCTGCGAGGTAGGTTAAGAGGGATGCTGCATCTTCAAAGTAAGTACCGCAATAGTTTGCTCATGCCCCCTGCTTAATGCAGTTTCAAAGAAACAGACGCCCATTTTCTTATCAGTTCCTTCTGCTGCTGTGCGGGATCTGTATGTTAATACCAGAGTCTGCTGCTTTGTGAGCCTTGTTACAACAGAGGTGGAAAGGAGACCAGGATCTAATGCCAAATCTCCAGGTTTGCATAGATTCTTCAGGATTTCTATTGCCCAACAGCTCAACAATAGTAAAACATCTTTCAGATCCTATTTGTTATGGTTAGTCTTTTGTTAACCATGTATCTTTCAGCCTGAAGGTTCTTCTAAGTCAGACCTGGGCATTGTACGGCCCGCGGGCCACATCCGGCCCGATGGCTGACCCTGACTGGCCCGCATGAGGTCACTGGCAAATTAAAAGTCAATGCAAATATATATCGTCGTAATTAGATGCAAGTAATACTACTGCGCTGCTTTTATTTTGAAGGATCTGCTAAATTGAATTGAATTTATTGCTTTTCATGTAATGTTAATGTTAATATTTTTGTGAATATTCATTAAATAGTGTTCTGTGCTCCACATTTTATTGTATCATTGTAATGTTTCATTTACTGTTTTTATAGAGATATATACTGAGCAGAGCTGTAAGCGTATTGGTCCAGCCCTTAACAACTGTCAAAGTTTCTCATGTGGCCCCATAGAAAAATTAATTGCCCACCCCTGTTCTAAGTTAACGGGTTACCTTTGACTAGGCCTCTATTCAACTCTGCTTGCAAGTTTCAGAGGTTTGTTTTAGAATATCGGATCTGTAGTCATTTCATTAGTTTATATTCAGTTGTATTTCTATACCACCCATAGCCAAAGCTCTCTGGGTGGTTTGCAAATATTGAAATTGAAAAACACATTACAAAAATATATACAAACAGATGCGGGGGGGGTCTTCATTCAAAAATGAAGACAACTTTGCGATTTGTGTTAGTCAGAGGTGGGGTTAATGAATGGCCCACTAGGGCTGGATCCCCTAATCTTTCATTTGGAGCCCCAAGT